ACCAATCATATGTGCTACTTAAAGTTGCAGCGACTTCAAAGTAATTTATGCACTACTTTAAAAAAGCAAAAGATAAGTGAGCGCTTGTATGAATATATAATGAGCAGCAGCTGTACACCAGACAAAGGCACCGTATCAGACCTTCAATAGCATAAATGTGAAAAAAGAGGTGCAGCGCTATATAACTAGACACAATAATAAATAAACCACTAGTGATACACAATAGTGATAAACAGTGACTGAAATTAATAACGCCACTAGATGGTGGCCATAGAGTGAGGAGAGTGAAACAGTCCAATGAAGGAGTGCTCTTGAGATCCGGGACGATCTTCAAACGTCCTATATGAAGGACCAACAGGTGATAAAATATGAAGACTGCGCACTCACCAGATACGCAATCTTTATGCGCATTTGTGTAAAATATCACTGGACCTCCTGTATCCTCATCCTGGTCTGGTCAGATCTGGTCAGCATATCCCTCAAGGCCTGGTATCCACATAGATGTAGCTTTTCCGTAGATTTGGCCGGCTTTCACCAATGCTCAAATAAATAGAAAGGGCCACATAGTGTAATATCCTCAGGTGTCTTTATTAGAGGTACAGGATAGCAGGAAAACTGACAAGCAAAAATATACTGACCAAATGAAAATCAAAGATGGCCGCCGGGGCCCCTCGTGGCGCCGGCGGTGAGGCGTCCGACCTGCTGTAGCTTTCTCTGACGCGTTTCGAGCAATGGCTCGTACTCATAGGGGTGCAGCTTACCCCTATGAGTACGAGCCATTGCTCGAAACGCGTCAGGGAAAGCTACAGCAGGTCGGACGCCTCAACCGCCGGCGCCACGAGGGGCCCCGGCGGCCATCTTTGATTTTCATTTTTGGTCAGTATATTTTTGCTTGTCAGTTTTCCTGCTATCCTGTACCTCTAATAAAGACACCTGAGGATATTACACTATGTGGCCCTTTCTATTTATTTGAGCATTGGTGAAAGCCGGCCAAATCTACGGAAAAGCTACATCTATGTGGATACCAGGCCTTGAGGGATATGCTGACCAGATCTGACCAGACCAGGATGAGGATACAGGAGGTCCAGTGATATTTTACACAAATGCGCATAAAGATTGCGTATCTGGTGAATGCGCAGTCTTCATATTTTATCACCTGTTGGTCCTTCATATAGGACGTTTGAAGATCGTCCCGGATCTCAAGAGCACTCCTTCATTGGACTGTTTCACTCTCCTCACTCTATGGCCACCATCTAGTGGCGTTATTAATTTCAGTCACTGTTTATCACTATTGTGTATCACTAGTGGTTTATTTATTATTGTGTCTAGTTATATAGCGCTGCACCTCTTTTTTCACATTTATGCACTACTTTAGTCTGCCGTTCATGCAACTTGAGGGCCAAAAAAACCCTCAAAAATTGCATGAAAGTCATACCTGAATGTTTTACATGCAACTGTGGTGCAACAGTGGTCCGACTTTGCAGAGGGACACATCTTATCCAAGTCGCATGCATCCAAAGTTGCACTCCAAAATCATTCAACCTTGCAGTCCTACAACTGTGAATGAAGCCTTTATGCAGGACATATATGGGTCAAATTTGGAACGATTTGTTGATCGAAAATTGAAAATTTTGTGCGTTTTTTAATCCGATAGTGCCATCATTAATTTCAAACGTGAACCAACCAAACCTTCAGTTTCACCCCATGTTGTTACGGAAAAGAAATTTCATGGCAGGGAATCTTTTCTTTTTCGATTATATTTCTTGCACAATTCTTCAATCATTGCTTAGAAATTTGTTGTTTTTTTTTTAATTTACAACATGCTTGATCATTCAAATTCGATGGCAGCATGAAAATCGACCGTGGCTGAGGCCCTACTAATGCTTGAAATTTGAACGATAATTAAATTTTTTTTATTTTTGACATAACAAATGTTCAGAATTTGACCAATGTATGGTCAACCTTACACTACTTACATTTAAAAAGTGCATTTAATGATGTATTGATGAATACAGAGCTGCATTCATTTGTGTCTTTACGTCCAAGCCTATGGCAGACTTTTCTCTGACCTTCCTGAAGTACATATTTGTTAGAAGTCAGTGACTCAGAGTAAAGCTGGCCATACATTCGTCACATGCTTTCGTTCAATCAGTGGGCTGAACAAAAGAAAATGACTCCATTCCCCCATCACACACTTGATGTGGATGGGGGAATCCCTCCTGCTGAGCCTTTGTATTCTGACATGAACAAAAGACACGCAGCACTAATTAAATTGCATAGAAATGTCAGAAGTAAAAATCCATATAAGTCCTCAAGTGAATAAAACAAGTTGCTGAAGATTCTGATGTCATAGGTCATCACCAGGGGTGGACTGACAACTCATGGGGCCCCTGGGCAATAGGGGATCATGGGGCCCCTGTGTCCTTGCCCAAACTCAAAAAAGCCTATGAAAAAGGTACCAGGGGCATCTCATGGGGCCCCCTACTGACCCCGGACCCTCGGGCGGTGCCTGAGTTTCTAAATGGTCAGTCCGCCCCTGGCCATCACCATACACCCAAAAAAATTAGCCCCTTACCGGACATTTAGACCATATAACACTGGTCAATATGCACAGTGTGATAAGGAGTCAGTGTGGCAGGTAGTCTTCAATAAAAATCCTCTCCCAAATAAAGGGAAAAGATCTCCAAAACTTGAAAAAACTTCCATCCGATACTCAGATAAGGAATAAAGAACAAAGGCAACTCATAGTGCAGTAATTCAATGAAGTTTTGGCAGATTTATTAAAAGATCCATGTACATCAAGAATTTAAAATAACCAGCATTGAATAGGAATTGTTTCAAACCAAAAATATGGCCACTGTCCCTCCAGAACGTGGTGACGTCACACACCGAAGCTCCACCCTAGGGAAGTTTATTCAAGTTTTGGAGATCGTTAAAGAGGAGGAACCATCCTTTATCTGGGAGAGGATTTCTATTGAAGAACACCTGCCTTTCTGATTCCTTATCACACTGCGCATATTCACCGGTGTTATACGGTTTAAATGTCTAGTAAGGGGTTCATTTTTTCGGGTCTATGGTGACGGCCTATGACATCAGAATCTTCTGCAACTTGTTATATTCACTTGAGGACTTTTACTTCTGACATTTCTATGCAATTAATTAGCATTGCATTTCTTTTCTTCATTTTTGTAATACCGTCTTTTGTGTGCAAGCTGCTTTTCTATTTTACTTGGTATTTTTTTTTGCATTAGTAGCGAGGTTTTTGTGTTTTATATTTATATTCTAAAAGCTCGAAGATTTCTCTGCCGTTAGAATATACTCATCAGCCCTGCCAGCTATAGCCAGCGGTGCTGATCGAGAGAACATTTTCCAACAGGCTGGTTGTACACAAGTCAATTGATAGATCAACTTGTGTACAACCAGCCTGCCCATACATGGATCGAAATTCGGCTGATCGCCGGTCAAAATTTGATCCATGTACGGCCGACCTTAAGGGTCAGCATGGCAGCCTGGCAACCTGAATTTTCAAAAGAGGGTCAGCAATAGAAGCCTCTATATTTCTCTAAGGAAAGGATTACTTTAAACGCTGCTCGGTTAGCCTTAAATATATAGGTTTTGGCATCTTTCCATACATAGAGTATATATACAAAAATGGAAATCTCTGGAAACTGAACAGATTGATCATATTTAATAGCATTCTCACCTAAGGAATTTATCTTAAGCTGGCCATATACTATACAATCTAATTGTACAATCTCTGTACAATCTCCTTTAGACTTACCAAAGCTATGTTGCAGAACATACCTAAACAATCCATCCAATTTGTATCAAACCTGACAGGCCCTTGCACCACAAAATTGATGGTAGATCTAAAGGAGATTGTATAGTGTATGGTCACCTTTAGGTTTCTCCGAACATCTTGCAGCATTTTGCTGGGACTTGTAGCTCCTCAGTAGTTGGAGAGACACAATAATATACAGAATATTCCTCCTATAATCGTCTTGTATGATAAGACAGCGCTGTCTGCAGTGACCTGTGTCCCTGACGTGTAGGTGACAGGGCAAGCACAGGCTAGAAGATTTATTAGGCAGGGTTATTAAGGAGAAATTGCTGGCTTTCTAGTCCTGATGAAGTGACTGTCCCGTGATGAGGATCGATAGCTGTCATCTCTGCCATACCGGGTCTTCTCATCAGACAGGAAGCCTGTGCACAGAGATAGGCAGCTACCAGTAATGGGATATTGATCACTGCCAGGGACAGCAGTCTTACAACTAAACCTACCTGCCCCTGCATCCCACAGGGGCCAGAGCAATTACAGGGGCCCTTCGCCTCCAAGTAATCAGCGAGATTTATCTCTGCTTCAGTATCATGGAAATCTAAAAACACAGTTGTCGTCTCGGAGTTCCCACGTTTTGCAGATCTGTCCATGGAAATGTTTTGAACAGTTTTAACCCTTGTATTCCTTCTTTTCTGCATATAAGGTTCTCCTTGTGTAAACTATCAACAAATGTCTCTTATTTTCTCCCCTTTGGTCTGTTAAATATACCATTGAAATGGTTTTATTAAATCTGTTCAACAAGTGCAAAAAAAGTAGTCCATTCATACAGAAATATTGTGAGCTAATCTGCTTCTGGACTGTTATCAGTTAGCATTGTTCCCTGCCATCTCTGTGGACTACAAAACACCTTTTCCTTGTTATGAAGAGGAGAGGGAGATGTTATGTGATCTTCACACACTCCCTGTCCTAGCATGACAGCCTAAGATGACAGCGCTGCTAAGTGTGGTTGTTGTTCTAGAACAAATAAAGGGAACAAAGTATGAAAAAAGAAAACTAATGCAGACACAACATCTGAGGATCAATAAGCTGCAATTCTTTTAATCTTTTAAATTGTAAGCAGGGGCTGACCATTTGGGAACTCAGCACTGCCGGAGGGCCCGGGGTCAGTAGGGGGCCCCATGAGATGCCCCTGGTACCTTTTTATAGGCTTTTTTGGGTGTAGTTTTGAGTGTGGTCGAGGACACAGGGGCCCCATGATCCCATATTGCCCGGGGACCCTATGAGTTGTCAGTCCGCCCCTGATTGTAAGCTCTAATGAGCAGGGTCCTCCTGTAATGAATTGTATTGTATCTGTACTATCTGCCCCCATATTGTAAAGCGCTGCACAAACTGTTGGCACTGTATAAATCCTGTATAATAATAATAATATTATTCATTTTATTTGGTGGATAGATTGTCCTCTAAACTACCAAACAACCTCTATGCCTCTTTTATGTGAAAGACTTTGGGGGGGATTTAAGAAAACCGGTGCCCACAGGATCTGCTGTAGCTGTGCATGATAACCAATCAGCTTCCAAGTTTTATTGTGAAAGTGTAACTGAACAAGCTGAAGTTAGAAGCTGATTGGCTACCATGCAGAGCTGCACCCGATTCTAAGTGCACCAGTTTTTTGTAAATCCCCCCATGTGTCATTATTTTAAAGTAGTAACATCTGCCTTTGTCTGAGACTTTTTGAATTCTGATCCCTGGTTCACACTAGCCTGCAGGCTGCGGGCTGGTTGGGGGTGCAGGAATCACACCTGTAACCACCCGCAGCCAAATCGTGCTGCTCTTGCGAGACACATGGGGTTGCCATTCATTCTGAGCTCATCTCAGCTCGCAGCGTGAACACGGGTACGGAAAAGGGAAACAGCATGGACAAAAACACCATGGGGATTCCCTGCCAATGCGTTTTGGAAAAGGCGTATGCACCTTTTTTTTTTGTATGAAACATGGGCATAGCAGCCCATTCAAATGAATGGGCTACTGTGCCCATGCAAACCCAAGCTGCACGGCCCGTACTTGTGTGAATCAAGCCTAAAATCTGTTTGTTAAAAAAGAATGTTGCTACAAAATACAAGAGGAAAAACTATTCATAAGTTACTCAGTAACAACATGTTTCTTCATGTCCAAAAACAATGCTGATAAAACATGAGATCACCTTGGGGTGTCTACTTTTCAAAGAAAAGTCATTTGGGGTTTTTCATACTGTCCTTATTGATTTGATGTTTTGTAACAAAGTGTAACTTCAGCTTGTTCAATTAAGCTTTGACAAAATAAAAACTAGAAGCTGATTGGTTTCTATGCAGAACTTCACCAGAGTTCTCCAGTTTTAGTAAATCAATTCCTATCTGTCTGAAAAAAATCATGTAAAACTAACTTGGGTACAGTGTTACATGAGTAATTACAGAGTAATTGTCAGACAAACTATTACAACACTGAAAAGTGAAAAATGACCTAGTAGTGAAGGAGTATTGCAGGCTGGAAATAGTGTGGTTCAGGTGGGTAAAATAACAAGACAATTAAGTTCTATAAAAGTAGATCAACAGGTTACCTGTGAATGCCATGCAAAGTGTAGGGGTATGACAAACTGGAATTGGTCCATCCCAAGCTAAAATGAAGACGAGCAACCATCAGCACATGCTCCTGTCCTCCTCCCAGGATTTACTGTGATTTAGTTTTAGAATGAACTATTAGGGTTTGCTTCGTACATCCCTTCTGTGTATGATATAATGCAGAGACCAGGTTTGGCTGAATATGCACAATATAGGCACATGGTAGCATTGATGTTGTTATTCCATTCCTATTTCAAGACAAATAAAAACTCTTTTGGATAAAGAAAAAATCAGGTGATGTCAAAATGAATCCTAAATTCATATAGGAACATCACTTATGAATCCTAAATTCATATACAGTAGGAACACCACTGAAGCTTAAAACCAGTCAGCCAATGCACCTTCTATATTATTTTTATTGGGAAAAAGATTGTCCCACGAACACAAAGAATATATTAAATCTGCATAATGACACAAAGTAAAAACATTTTTTAAAAAGCAGTGATTCTTAAATACCACCAAACAAAAGCCCTATGGGGTTGATTTTTGAAAACTGGAGCATGGAAAATCTGGTGCAGCTGTACATGATAGCCAATCAGTTTCTAACTTCAGCTTGTTCAATTAAGCTTTGACAAAAAAAGACACATTGGGGGGATTTACTAAAACTGGAGCACTAAGAATCTGATGCAGCTGTACATGGTAGCCAATCAGCTTCTAACTTCAGCTTGTTCAATTAAGCTTTGACAAAAAAGACACATTGGGGGAGATTTACTAAAACTGGAGCACTCAGAATCTGGTGCAGCTGTGCTTGGTAGCCAATCAGCTTCTAACTTCAGATTGTTCAATTAGCCCTCATGCACACTTGACGTTTTGATAACACTTGTAACGTTAGCTGTGTAAAGTCACGTTAAAAACGATTTTCTTAGCGTTTTTGCATTAGCGTTTAGCGGCTTTTTCCCATGTTTTTCCATGTTTGCGTTTTTTTAGTGTATTTTTTTTACAACTAAAAAACTTCTCTAGAAACCCACTAGTCCTGGGTTTTTTTTGCAGCCAAAAAAGGTCCCAGCCAAAAAACGTTGATTACACATAGGATAACAAGCTGGGGAGTTTATTGACTGTAGAACAAAAACTCAAATGCCAAAAAAACAGCAGCTGTCCAGTGTGCATGAGGGCTTCAGCTTTAACAAAAAAGACACATTGGGGGAGATTTACTAAAACTGGAGCACTCAGAATCTGGTGCAGCTGTACATGGCAGCAATCAGCTTCTAACTTCAGCTTGTTCAATTAAGCTTTGACAATAAAACCTGAAAGCTGATCAATTCCAATGCAAAGCTGCTCTGGATTTTGAGTTTTAGTTAATAACCCCCATTTAGTGTGACTTTTTGCTGCCAGGCATTAATAAGGCATGTTTTCCATACAAAATATATATCTATCAATACTTTGAAAAAAAAACTACAAATTAAAAGAATTGCTGTACCCATGATAGCAATTATTGCAAATAAATATGTGAGATAGCAAACACGTGGCAGGAGGCAAGCAATATTGTTTAAACCTTACTATATAGGGCTGAATTTTGTTGAAAATGTTAGGGTACCACAGAAGTTTTTCTTTTTCAAGGATTTTACAATGTATTAATTAATATATATTTTTTATACGGGGGGGGGGGGGGTGCATTTTTAATGCCTGTTGCCGAAAAGCCCCACTAAATAAATATAGTGGGGGAGTTTTACTAAAACTGGTGCATTCAGAATCTGGTGCAGCAGTGTATGATAGCCAATCAGCTTCAAACTTCAGCTTGTTCAATTAAGCTTTGATAATAAAACCTGGAAGCTGATTGGTTTCTCTGTAGAGCTGTACCAGATTTTACACTCTCCAGTTTTAGTAAATTCCCCCCTGTGTGTCTTTGATATCAAAAGGGATGTGGTGCACATGACAACCCACCAATCCAATATAAATGATACATCTGCATAAAGAAAAAATTTATACCACCCCAAAAATGTACTACTGATGTCCCACCATCTCACCCATTTCCTTCTCAGACTCTTGGGAACTCTCACTTGTTGGTCTCTTGTCTCTACCTTGATTAAGAATGTCCACAATGGAGAAAGGTGTGTGAAGATGTTTCCGATTACTCATAACTTTTTCTTCTGAGCTATCACAGTTCAGCATGCCCATGGTGATCCAGCTGGAACTTGCCAAGCACTGGGATCCTGGAGTCCTACTTAGGTATCCTGTGAATCTGATGAAGAATATTGACTTGGGTAGATGCGAATCAGGTCAGGGGCTCTGCTGATCCCTCCAGTGCCCTCAGTGTCTGGTTGTCTCTGATGACAGGTATCTATGTGCATCTCTGCTTTAATGAGCATCCCATAGAGGAGGAGACACAGCAAGCAGCCACGAGACAGAGGGGAGGAGATGACACTAAACTGGAAAGAGAAGAGGGACAAGACAGGAGGCGGAGGAAAGAAGTCTATTTATCTTGGGTACCCAGTCCATTTTATTTGTCCTTGGTGTCCTGCTATATGTACTCTTTCATTGCCACAATTACCGTGCATTTACACTACCCCATCCTGTAATGCAGCTCTTTCATCTCACATCTGCCCCCCATCTCAGCCATCCATTTAATTCCTCATCCATTTGGTCTTAATCTCTAAATTAGTGTTGGTTGGTTAGCTATAATGTGAATTTCAAGGTTTGGATTAAACTAAACACATCAACTCATCATTGTTCTCTAGTTTTAGATGATTGTGGGCACTATGTGATTCACAATAAAAACACGCTGGGGTTAGTTTTCAGAGAAGAAAGGGTGTGTAGGCTCAATCTTGCAGGAGTTAAACAGATGTAACTGAGATTTGAAAGAAAATTGAATGATCTGTTCTACAAATGACTAACAAAAGTACATTGTATGAAGATGACTATATTCCTCTCATTTTTTTACTAACATGGTTTTTTTTGTAAACTAAGACGTCCCGTACATATTACAATCTGATCATTTAAAGAGTTTGTAAAGGTTTTTATCTTTTGTTTTGTTTTGTTTTGTTTTTCTAAAACAACCAACATGATATACTTACCTGCCCCTAACCTTCTCTTCTTGGGTCCCCCACTGATGCTTCTGGCACCTTTTTTTCTTTGTGTGCCCCGTTAGTAAGCCATTGACTATGGGGGCACTCCTGCAGGCTCAATCCCAGTCAGGCTGTGTACGTCTATTAGGTAAAATGGGTAAAAGAGTGCTAGAGAAATATAAAAACATAAATAGCAGCTGGCATGAAAGGTTAAACCTCAAACCCTCATAAGACAGTATAATATATAAAAATGCAGCGCTAAAAAACGAATTACCTCATATAAGATATAAATATAAAACACATGTGATTCACACAAACTGCGTCTAAGTAAACGCACATATAATAAATAGAGATGAGCGAATCGAACATGGCGAAGTGGAATTCGTTTCGAAGATCAGGAAAAATTCGATTCGCGCCGAATCCGAAAATTAGCAAACTTCGGATGCGCGAATCGAATTTTCCCAAAAATGGCGGCGACATGTGTGGCGACGGAGCGGGGATCTCTGGGAAGGCGCGCAGACAAGGCGCGCTGACCCATAATGCATTCATTCATGACATGTGATCGCATTAGCCAATCAGCAGCCAGCCAGCCAGCACTGTGTAATGGTGGAGCTATAAATCGCGG